GCAGTCTCCAAAGCAAAAAGCATTTTATTAGCTGTGCAATGTTATTCTGCCATGTGCTTTGGCTTTTAGGAGATAAATTCTCAGTTAGGTCACTTGCACTTGTGTCTATGATCAGTTAATAAAACAAATAGACCACCTTGACTGCTGCAATTATAATCCTTAGCCCACTGAGTATAAAACTAACAACTTCAAAATAACAGAGCAAGTCTAGGGGCAGGTCATTCCTTCTAGTCCAGAGACAAATTAAAGCAATAAAACATACTGTACAAAATAATTAATGGAATGCAGAGAACTATATAGATTTCACCACATAGGATGTAGGAGAAACAAGAGCTGCTATACATTATCCAATTTGTTGAACACAGTATTTTCTATTGATTTTAACAACTTATTATTTGCTGACTATTACCTAAGCTCCAGTGAATTTAGCAGTTAAAACACAGAAGCTTTCCTGCTAGCCAGTCATATTGGAAAATTGCTGTGAAGAGCAGCAATCTGATCCCTGTTTCTTTAATCAAGCCCAGGGGTACAAAGGCCCTCAGCTAATCCCTGCCCATGAGGCTTTTTGCAGATTTATTTGCTGGCTAGAGAGTTGAACGGAAAGGATGAGGTGACAGAGTGTCTGGTTAAATTTTACATAACTGATAGTATCAGATTGAAAACAAAAACATATCTTTTACGGTGTTTCTTCTGTGAGACATAGTCTTCAATAGGATTTAGTCTCTGATTTTCCAGTTGCTGCTGGACATGACAAGAAGCATCAGTGTGCAAAATAATTTCTGTTATCCTGCTTGAATTTTGCCTAAACTCAGGTACTAGAAAATTTTGTCAATGCTGAATCCATACATCACCAAAAAAAGCCCCAACCCTTTTTCTTCATTATTTGTTGTTGTGCATCCCATTTCAAGTCTTCCCAGCACTCCTGTGAGTCAGAATCTCCTAGCTGAGTGCTGTTATGTGACAGCTTCATGGTGTCTTTTCCATTTGTGTGAATTCATTATGATTTGAAATGGAAAAGGGGATTATTAACACATTTTTTCTGTTGAAGTCAGTTCCTAAAGCAGGTTGGACCTGGTTGAAAATTGAGAAGGGAGCTTCTGAAGAACATCTGAGCACTTCAGGAGAGGAGGCTGGTGTTTCTGTGGTGACTAGCTCTCTATGAGCTGCTAATGGAATAGTTCCTCAACAGTGTTCTGTGATGGGCATTTCCACTGGAAATGTTTTGTCAGGCTGTCTGTGCTAAAACCATTGTCCTTCCTTCCTTCCTTCCTTCCTTCCTTCCTTCCTTCCTTCCTTCCTTCCTTCCTTCCTTCCTTCCTTCCTTCCTTCCTTCCTTCCTTCCTTCCTTCCTTCCTTCCTTCCTTCCTTCCTTCCTTCCTTCCTTCCTTCCTTCCTTCCTTCCTTCCTTCCTTCCTTCCTTCCTTCCTTCCTTCCTTCCTTCCTTCCTTATGGAAATAAAGGAAAGGGTCAGTGATCCTGGTGCACTTATCAGTTTCAGTTGCAGATGTAATATTGTTTTATATTTCAGATTTCCATTGCAGCTTGTCTGGAGTGCTTTATGCTTTTGACTGTTAGCAGTGTTTCTGTGATGCAGTGTGAGTTCAGAAGTGGTTGCATTGCAGTGCTGGATGAACCAGTTCATACATATTTTCTATATTAATTGAAGTAACAGAACACTATAAACTCTCATGTAGTGACAAGCACTTAAGTTATGCTTCCATATCAGTATTCTGGTTTTACTTATTTTCTGTGATTGTCCTCAACTGTGATCACATCAGGCCAGTATATTTTTCTTGATTAA